CGCCGGCTCTCTGACAGTTGCGTTTGTTGGTATATATACTATGCCATTGTGCCTCCATGTTTCGAAAGGTGTGCTCTTGCACCTCACAGCTGAGACTGAAACTGACTCATAAAGGCCTCCAAAGACTCGCTGCCTAATGCGAAACATTTTGAAATGTAAATTTACTCACATTTAGACTGTGTGCCCACTTTTTTAGTGGACTTGCGATATTTCTGGCATCAGGATCTCAGGACCCCAAACTCTAGAAGGCTGTAGATAAAACGCCAGAGATTAAAGGAGAACTCCGGCGCAAAATGAACCTTTGGTCTAATTACACATTGTTACCTAGTCAACCGTTATCTGAGATTTGTTTTCATGATTATCGAATGTAAATAGTTTTATCTCTAAAAACAGTTTACCCTATAAAGCTAGTATAACGCTAGTATATTGGGCATAGTGTAATGACAAATAAAAATCGCTTGTTAATACCACTAAGAAGGCTCAAAATAGCCCCACACTAGCACGGTAGCATAATGAGGGTCCCTACCTTCAAACCGAAGCATTGAGAACTTTGTCAGTGTCCAGACAGTTTAATAAGAAGATATTTTATACATACAGTCAACTTCGCGCATACAGGCACAGTGTTTCCCCTAGGATTTTTTTTCAGAGGGGGGGGGGGGGGGACTGCTAGTGTTGCGGAGCGGGCGTGTTACGGATACGTGGTGTAAATTTTTTAGCAATCAAAAAGCATGTCTAATTAATTGAAATAGTGTATTATGAATTATTAAACGTATACAACATTTAAAAAAAAAAAAAAAAAAATTTCACACTAATTCTGTGTTGTGTTTTTTCTGGTAATAAAATGAAGACATAAAACACAAATTTTATCATTTATTATCAATTTTAATCATATGAAATTAAATAAACTTTTTGTCAAATAACGTGCAGCACAATGAGCTTTACTGTTAAAATTAAAACATGGATTATTCCTTAAATTCAGTTTTGATGATAATTTATTGTGTATTATTACATTGGGACATATCTAAATTCTACTGTACAACGGTAATATATCTCTGTCAAGTTAAACCGAACTTTTATTTTGACGGGTTGCCGTGAAGACCTTTTGAGTTTCTGTGTGTTTGTCACGATGATAGTTTTTCTCAAATGAAGCGGTGAAATGATCACGAAGTGACTTTCGGAGTGGATCTAGAGCCTGGAGAGGAAGTTTATGCATTTGTGTCTTCATATAGGCCAAAAAACAGCGCAAGCGTCACACGTGCTTCAGTGTGTGTGTGTGTGTGTGTGTGTGTGTGGTAAATGAAACTGCGCGTCGGCGGCACCATTCATTCACACAGAACAAGCAGGATTCGTATTTAAATTGTCTTTGTGGTTTAATATCCACACACACTAGTCTACATCGCGATTTGATTTCAAGTGTATACTGAACTGCTTTCTATTTATTCCTCAAAAGATGGACAAATTCCATGAAATTCCGCGTTATACAGTAAATTTCTTTTTTATGACTGGATTTCGTCAGCAATTTAGGGGGGGCGGGGGGTCGTTTTGGGGGGGCGGGCCGCCCCCCCAAAACAATGGTAGGGGAAACACTGCAGGCAGAAGCCATCTTTGAAAAACAGTCTCTACCAGTCGATCTATGAATGCGTAACAGCGCAGCGCTTCTGGGTTGTACGTCACACGTAGGCTCACTATTGGCCGAGGCTGATCATGCGTGTGACGTACAACACAGAAGCGCTGCGCAGTTACACTACGTGAACTCAAGGAAATTAAGGAAGGAAATGAATAGTTGAATAATAGAAATGAATAGCTGAATAAAGTCGTGATTCTTGTTAGTTTTTTGCGCACAAAAAGTATTCTCTTCGCCTGATAAACTTAAGATTGAGCCACTGTAGTCACTTGGACTATTTTTACGATGTCTTTAACTTTTCTGGGCCGGCAAGTTTCGATCCCTTAGAAGTAGGGGTGTAACGGTTCACAAAATTCACGGTTCGATACGATACAGTGGTGTCACGGTTCGGTACATTTTTGATACAGCAAAAAGAAAGAAATGCCAGAGAAATTTCCTATTTATTAAAAGAAAAAAATATTTTTAAATAAGTTTGAGGTTTCCTACATCTTGAAACGTTCAGGTTTATAAATGGGGGTAATCTTTGAAGGATGAACAAATAATTTTTTGGTCATCACATTAAAAATAACATTTAAATATAGGCCTATATTTATATATATAATATTTAGATAATATTTGAGTTTTGAAGTGCTGGACAAAGATGTGTGAAGTACTTGAAAGCATTTCACTATTACAGCCAAACTGGTTACAGTTAGTGTTACTATATTAAACCCATGGTGAATGTTGCTGATCTGTGGACTTAAAGCCTATAACTAGATCATTCACGGCACAATGTTTCTCCTGGTGTCCACGTCAGCGCTGTTTGATCTAATAGAGATCTACGGTTAATAACGGAGAAATGTGAATGCTTCTCACTAGATCTCGCAGTGATGTTATTACTTCAGTGGCGAATTCAAATGTTTTCTTTTGCGCAACAATGCGCAACGTTGTGGTGATCGCGCCGGCGCCGGCGCGGATTTTGTCGGCAGGAAAAATGGTCCAAGGAATCGTTCGGTTTGTATGCGTACCGAACCGAAAGCCTCGAACCGAAACGGTTCAATACGAATACATGTACCGTTACACCCCTAGTTAGAAGCCTATGGAGGAGTGATCCAGCTCACAGATTTAATAAAAAATATCTTAATTTGTCTTCCGAAGATGAACGAAAGTCTTACGGGGTTGGAACAACATGAGGGAGAGTAATTAATGACAGAGTTTTCATTTTTGGGGTGAACCATACCTTTAAGTAAAGACCCAGCGTTCGCTTCTGTCGTGCTCATTTAGCGATCTAGCTAGGTTTCAGTCAGCTGGTGAAACGGTGAGGTGTTGTGGGACTTTCCTCTACGGAGGCGTGATGTTAGGGTGGCTCTCCTGGCCCGACAGTGGGGAAACATCTTGATTTTGGGCTCGGTGCTCAAGATCTGAGGACATTGACCCGTCCAGCATGTTGTTAGCCCTGGCTCGCACTGGCCCGACAAAGCGGCAATTCGGATTTGCAAGTTCTCTCAATGAACTGGAATGCATTTAGTTTCTTGTGACATTTACAGTTCTAGAAATTGACATGAACGATAGATGAAAAAAAACCTTGAATATTAAAAGAAGCCAGCAGATTGTCATGCCAGACGTTACTCTCTGTGATTTCATAAGAGTTTCTTCCAAGTATAAGGAAGTGCTGTTGTTTCTGATAAAATTAATTTAAATTGATCATTAACAACACTTCCTCTGTTTGTACCTTCGTCCCTTTATTTGTTTCAAGCAAAATTTTAGGTTGTGAGAGGTTAGGCTATATTTTATGGGTCCCTGTTATAGACACTTTTATTTTAATGTGGGTTGATTAGCTGACATCCTGAAATATAAATCAAGAGTATTTGTTTTAACCCACCTCCTTGAATTCACTTTGAGATGATAGATTCGTTGTCTTTAGCTCTATAGAGTTACTCCTCTGTGTACAGAAACCTGTTTCTCTGTAATCCTCCGTCAGCTTCACTTCCTCGGGCCAATTCCATCCGTCACTCGTCATCTTTTGATGGAAACTTCAAAGAATATTTCCATGAGCGTTCGTTTTGTGCACGATTTGAGTGAATTTCACTAATAATCCATTTAGGGTTTATAGTTTCCTGGTTTAACTGCATTTGCTTCTGTTTTGGGGCAAATTTACGCAACTCTTTCCAGCACACATGGAAACTTAGCCAATTTCAACAGAATTTGAGCACAAATCAGTGGAGTCCTTATTTTCTTTTGCTTTTCTATAATTTTTTCAGTGCCTCAATTTACTAGCTGTATAACTTTTCGATTTGGTGTGATATTATTGATATTGGTTATTGATAACAATTTGCACGCTAATCATTTGCAAAATGCCTCCCCCCTCCATTTGCACGTTCATATATTATTAATCATTACATTACATTACATTTTTGCCTAAATTGCTCTAAATTGGCTAAATTACTTTCATGTATCAATTAGTGTAGCATTCTCAGCTCCATTTAACATAATTTCATAATGAATAAAATCCACAGGTTCTTCCTCAAAATTAGCTCTGAAAATGTGAAGTTTGCAGATCCTGTCTTGGCCTAACGATGATTTGCAAGGTGTTTTTTTTAATTATTTTTTATTAAAAGGTAATGTATTAATGATGAGGTATGATGTTGTTCACCCTTATTTCTTAACCCAGTTTAGTTAACCATGCAAAGCAAACTTTTCTGAACCTTTTTTGTTCCCAAAAACAAGTTATAGTTTCTATCAAGTCTTTATTGACTTAGTGGCCGCTATGCGACAGCTTATTTTGTAACTATAAATGTTAAATTATTAAGCATTGTATTCTAGACCAAAAGTTTGTTCCTAGACCATATTTAAACAGTTTTGTTTTATGGATGCTTTAGATTTTATAATTTTCCATAGGTCTACCAGTGAAGCCTGATTTAAAAAAAATAAAAATCAATTAAGGATTCAAGACATTGCTGGTCACAGGATAATGGTCACTTTGTAACATTCAGTGTGTTGCATGATCGACCAAAGTAAATCAAATTAATCTCCTTTTAGTTAGGCTGTATAAACTTGGCCGTTAATCAATGCGATCATTTGTTTACGGGATCCATGTCTCTCACTCGAAGCCTGTTCTGGCTTTTTTTTCTGTTTGGCATATTCATGCTGAACTCTGAATCCTTCAGGGCTTTTTCTGGTGGCTCCGACGCCAGTGCTGTTTTTCGCTCTGAGATCTGAATGGCCATTCACTTCAACTTTGTCTTGAAAGCCCCTGAGGCATCCAAGCACTTCAAAAAAAAAAAGATTTATTTCTAGTCAAAGCATATTTGTTTTGATCTTTCCCCTCCAAACCTTTGACATCTATATTTGACCTTATTCATATTTTTCTCTCTCTTCTTTTTTTTTTATCTGCAAGGAACCCCTCCAAAGCTTTCTATCAAGCCTTTCCAATCGGCAGGTCAAAGGCCATCAGTGATGGGTACGATCGCTGTGTGTGTGTATCACATTGCACTCTTGGCAGCTGTGAGTGTGCATGCAGTGAGCATGGCATTTCTGGAAGTGGTTTCAGGCTCAGGTGTCAAAGGGCCGTGACGCACCAATCCGGTGTTCAGCCGTCGATGGGCATCTGTTGGGCTAGTTTTTGCGGTGTGTTCCAGTCAGGCTCATGTCAGAGGGAGTTCGCCCGGTTCAGCATGTTGAGTCACCGTTGGTGAGAGAGATAGCTCTGATTGGCTGTTCAGTTTAGCAAATTAGTCAGTGCGCTAGTGTTGTCAAAAGAACCGACTTCGGTACCAAGTCGGTACCGAAATTTTAAAAATGTAACTACTAGTGTTGTCAAAAAACTCGGTACTTTGGTACCAAGTCGGTACTAAAAAAAGTGAACGGTTACGGTACCAGCTTTTCTAGGTACCGAGTACCGGGTTAATCCGGTTCTAGATGCGCTGTCCGAAAGGTGCAGAGTTGCGTCCTCTTCATAAAAACACTGAGACATGGCGAACGGCGGCGCTGCTAATGCTGTGGCTCTGAATCCACTTGTTGACAAGAAAGGAGGAAAGAGCCACATATGGAAATATGTTGAATTAGGCTAATGTCACGTTGCCATAAAGGGCCGTTCACACGTTCACATAGCATGTTTTTTGCGCGTGCAAATTTCAAATGTAGGCGCGCGGGGAGCGCGCTCATAATAGAAGCGACGTGCGAGCTTGTTTTTCCAGGCGCGTCACTGTTTATGGGTGCATAGCGGAGACACGCGAGAGCGAGCGCTTGTGGAGAGGAGGAGAAAGCGGTGCAAACTGCGCTCTCTGTGATGACGAGGAAGTATCAGCAAAGAGTTAATTGATTTCCAGCCCTTGCATTAGAAATCAGTTTTGAAGACAGGCAAGAGTGACATTTTTGGCAGTTTTGGATTAAATAAAAGTAGGCCACAGTTAAGTCAAATAAAACATGTTTTATCTCCTGTATAGTTTGGTAACACTACAATAAGATACCATTCATTAACATTACTTAATGTGTTAACATCAACACATTGAGTGAACAATATATTTTTACAACATTAATTAATGTTTTGAATGTTATTTAATACAAACACTTGATTGTTCTTGGTTGTTCACTTCATTCATTGTGCATTAAATAATGTTAACAGATAAAACTTTTGATTTTAAAAATGTATTAGTAGAATATACATATTAGTAGATGGAGAATAATTGCTACAGTATATAACTGGTTTATTGTTAGGTCATTTTATCTAATGTTATCTAACAAATAGAATCTTATTGTAAAGTGTTTTTAATACTACAGATTCCATCTTTGTAACTGTGATATACACTTTAATATATCTAAATTTTATCTAAATTAAGCTTTGGTACCGAAATTGGTACCGAGAACCGTGGATTTTCACTGGTATTGGTACCGAATACTGAAATTTTGGTACCGTGACAACACTAGTAACTACCAGCATTTCCCTTTAGCATTTTGAGCACTGTTGAACAGATTCTTAAACACCTCTGACTGTCCATTGCGTTCACATGCTCAACATGTCTGTGATTGGCCATTGTGTTGATGCGCTCAACATACATGTCTGTGATTGGTAGGGGTGTAACGGTACACAAAAATCACGGTTCGGTACGTACCTCGGTTTTAAAGTCACGGTTCGGTACGTTTTCGATACAGCAAAAAGTAAGAAATGCCAGAGAAATTTCCTATTTGTTAAAAGAAAAAATATTTTTTAAATAAGTCTGAGTTTTCCTACATCTTGAAACTTTCAGGTTTATAAATGGGTGTCATCTTTGAAGGATGAACAAATAATGTTTTGGTCATCACATTAAAAATAACATTTAAATATATAAAGAGTTCAGATGCAAAAGCCATTTGAAATTTTCTTCTAGAATGATCATTTTTATGAAGCTTGTATATTTAAGTTCAGTAATTTCACTTAAATGGCTATGAAGATTGCCTATTAATTGTCATTTGAGTGAAATTACTGAACTTAAATATACAAGCTTCATAAAAATGATCATTCTAGAAGAAAATTTCAAATGGCACAGAGGCTTTTGCATCTGAACTCTTCATATATATATTTATATAATATTTGAGTTTTGAAGTGCTGGAAAAAGATGTGTGAAGTACTTGAAAGCATTTCACTATTCCAGCCAAACTGATTTAGTGTTACTATATTAAATCCATGGTGAATGTTGCTGGTCTGTGGACGTAAAGTATTACTAGATCATTCACGGCACAATGTTTCTCCTGGTGTCCACGTCAGCGCTGTTTGATCTAATAGAGATCTACGGTTAATAACGGAGAAATTTGAATGCTTCTCACTAGATCTCGCAGCGATGTTATTACTTCAGTGGCGAACTCAAATGTTTTCTTCACTGGATCTCTTAGCGCTGTGTTGTAACAGTGTCGCTTGATCGAGATCGGCTCCCGCTGCACAGATGTTGCTGGTCCGCACTGATAAACGGTCCGTGAAGCACAATATAATGAGTAGCGCAGTTTCGTTCCGCTTTCATTACGCTTGCCATTTGATGTTGCGCAACGTTGTGGTGGTCGCGCCAGCGCGGATTTTGTCGGCAGGAAAAATGGTCCAAGGAATCGTTCGGTTTGTATGCGTACCGAACCGGAAGCCTCGTACCGAAACGGTTCAATACAAATACATGTACCGTTACACCCCTAGTTCACGTGCTAAACATATGTCTCTGATTGGCTACAATGATGGCTACAACGCTTCAAAAACATGTTGTCTTTGACGCTCTTCACCGAGTGCTTACACAGATACACACAGGAGCGTTTGAAAGCAGGCGTCTATCAGCGGATCCGTCTATCAGTGGATATATTAGGGATCCGCTGATAGACGCCTGCGTTGCAAACGTTGATCATTGTAGCCAATCACAGACATAAATGTTGAGCGCATGAACGCAATGGCCAATCGGGTGTTTAAGAATCCGTTCAACATCGCTCAAAATGCTAGAGGTAAATGCTGGTATCGTCACATTTTCTCAATTTCAGTACCGACCTGGTACCGAAGTCGGTACTTTTGACAACACTCAGTGCACGGGAATATAAATCGAAATTGAGCAAAGACAAGACAGCACTCAGTACAGAAGGTTGTTTTAATTTTACATCATCTTACCTGAGCATCCCAGGGCCTGAATATTTTCATGACTGAATACTTCATGAGTTGCTTGTATTGTGATCAGCATGATTGATATTCAAAATGCTAAGCTAGCGCTGCTTTGTTTACGGTTTGTATATCTACATAGTTACCTAGTTTTGGTTTCCTTATTTGAATGACGAATATAGACTATTGATACCTGCTGATATAGACGATATTTCCTTAACCACACATGCAGTGGTGACTCAACCATGACTCTTAAACCTTGGCCCTCTTATCCCCTTCCCTCAACGAGGAAAAAGTAAACTCAGCCTTAACTAAACTAAGTTACCTTTGACAAGAAATGCAACAAGCAAACAGCACAGTTCCTGTGAGTTGTCACCAAAATAAAGCAAAATGTGATAAAAATGCAAATCCTCATTACAAATAAATGCGAATATTTCAGTGGAATTACAGCAATTGTGTGTAATGGTCGCCGAGTTGGTACAGATTGACCAGTAATTGACCGTTCGCAAAAGCCACGCCCCCTAGTTATTGTTGCTACGCCCGTCAAACAAATGGTCAAACACGACCAGCGCGACAGATTGCCATGACGGGAAGAGGTATACCCGTGCGTGTCAGTGACCTTTTTTGGAGCAAAACCTCAGCGATATCCTCCAGATCGAGGCAAAAGGGGTTACAGTATGCAGTGGAGGGATATATTCAAAATATAAACATACGCAATGAAGGAGACACGACTACTATCGAGGCGAATGCGTATACCGGTCTCAAGCGAAATCTGAGAAACCCCATGACCTGTAACTTACCTCAAATTCAACCAGCACAGCCTTGAAGAAGATTTTATAAACTGGTTCAGTGGCTAATGTTTGGAGTTAGAAATATATAACTCGCGCTGCATATTTAGTAATTTTGCCTCAGATACAGGATTATTCGCTTTAACAAGCAGGTTGTTCATTACCACGGCAACCGCTTTGCGTGTCATGCTGAATGCCATTTTCGTGTTTAAAAAGTAACTAAACATAAGAGACGGAAAGATGCAGATAACCATAACGTTATATTATTTAAGGTTATTTCTATTCGTTACGATATTGATATATGAACTGATGTTGTTAAGTAAGCGTCATGCTTTCCCCGTTGCGAACGTGCACTGTAACGTTAGTCTACGGATGCTGCACTGCTGCTCATTTTCCCCTGAGAATATCATGTTAACAACAACCCTTTAGAAAACGTAATTCCTTTGTGGATCCTCTTGATCTGCTTTCTCCATGTTTCTTTGACTAATCTCAGTGTCTCGGTCTCATGTTCGACACATTTAACTGGGAGTGGGGCCGTCCACACTGTTTTATCCATTGTAGGCACCGCTCACGTTGTGTTTTCGGCTTTGGAAACGGAAAGAACACAACTCCTCCAGACAATCTCTCGGGGTACCTAGTGTCCGATTTACAAACCCCGTGGGCGCACCGCTTCACCATCTTGCTTGGAGTCAATGTTTGACGGACCTGCTCACATAGTAACGGTTGCTATGATGTGTGATTGGACAATGGCCGTTTTGTGGGAGGGGCCTGCGAACGGTCAATTCCTGTAACCTATATGACAAATAATGACTATTTGAGAAATATGTGATGTGTAACCTCTGTAAATACCAATTTTTGCCCACAATTTTGCCCCGATTTACAGTCTGGACGAGTCTACGCTAGTTGCCAAATGTCAGAGCTTGCATATTTGATTTGACAGATTTAATTGAAAATCACGATTTGTATGTTGGACAGATTTTTTTTTTTTTTTAGTGCCAAGTCTCTCATTTTACAACACCATTTTCCATGCATCTCCTACCAACTATTTTGCATGAGTTTGTTGCATTCGGAACGACCTGAAAGTCTGGTAGTGTGTGATCCTTGCTCGTTTTTCCTCTGTAACTTTAACAAAGTTTGCAAGTGTATGATGCCTAGTGTTTTAAAATCTGTTCTGACTTAAAGGCGTGTAGTCTTTCCCATCCTTAAGCTCCTACACAGATTTGTAATTGGCTCTGAGAATCCTTGGTAAATGTCTTGATTAAAAAATTTGTTGATCTATTTCTCCTTCTCTTCGACCTAGTTCTCTTTCTTTTTGATATATTTGTCTTTGTGCTTTATTAAAGTACATTGAGTACTGGGCTTTCTCAAACCTCAAAGGCACAAATAAACATTTGATTATGATTGAGAAGTCGTCGGTTCTTGAACAAAGGGAGGGTTGTGCTGACAGTGAGCCAGGGAGATTTAGCATTACTGTGTGACTCATAACTCTGGTGGGAAGGATGGTATTCATGTCAGATTTCTGATATTTGCTACATGTTCGCTCCTGTCCCCACAGAAGCACAGCGTTCAACAGTTGACACCAGTCAAGCCATTGCCCTGAAAGAAAATCTGAGGCCTTTTATGTTTTATGACCCATATGCATTTGTAAGCAGGTCTAAATGACTGTTTTAATGTGCTGTGACTCGCCTGAATTTCTGCAGAGTTTCATAATTAGATGAACCGAATTAACATCTATGCAAAACTATAAAACATTTTAACAGCTTTGTTGGTGGTTGCAGCACTTTTAGGAGAAGCATGAGAATAATTGTTATAGATCATTAGGACAAGGTTATTTTATGTTTAATGCTTGTCCTTAGTTTGAGGTCTCTCTGACAGTATTTCTGGTACAGGCATCAGTGCAGATAAGCAAAGCGTGTGCTCCTTATTTGACTATTAATCCTGCTCTTTTATTTCCATCCAAACACTCCATTACTTTTAGTTACAGGCAGTTTTCCATGAAAATTGTTTTGTTTGAGAATATTTGCATGTCTTTTTACTCATTTGTTTGCATCAAGTGCCAAATTTTTTTTTTTGTGTAGAATTAGTTATTATTGATAGAGATAATGATTCCATCAGTTATATCTGTGAGTCATAGCTGTCCCAGAATTACAATATATTTGTAAATTAATGTAGAAAAATGGTAACACTTTAGTTTAGGGTCCAATTCTCACTATTAACTAGTTGCTTATTAGCTAGCATATTACTAGGATATTGGCTAGTACTTATAAAGCACATATTAATGCTTTATTCTGCATGGCCATATTCTACATCCCTTAATCACCAATACCTAAACTCAACAACTACCTTTCTAACTATTAATAAGCAGTAATTAGGAGTTTGAGGTCTGACAAAGGTCAGTTAATAGTGAGAATTGGACCCTAATCTAAACTGTGACCTGAAAAAATTTAATCTAATCTTTGTTTGGCAGTCAAAAAAAGACATTTTGCAGAAAGTTCAAGCTGCCCTTCTCCATGCAATGAAAGACCAGTCAGTTATTCACTGCAAATCTCCCCCTCTTCCATAACTTTCAGCTTCTTATGGTGCTTTATTTTAACAGTCTGCTTATGTTGTGGTGAAAAGAGCAGGTTGGACAGTTTGCCTAATATCGCTCTTTTTGGTTCAACGGAAGACGGTCAGATTTTGTTTGGGGTGCTGATCCTGCATGTTTACCCTCCATTTCTCTTTTTGTAAAGACTTCCTTACTAATTCAGACTATGCAGATTATTCAGAATTCATGTTTGACCTTTTTTTCTCTTGGATGAACTGCATTGACTGGCTAATTGAAGCACATTGTTGACCGCTTAAAAAATGACTTGAGAGTCAAGAGTTCAAATAAGAGATTGTTTAATTTTGGTAATTTTAAGTATTTTGCAAATTCAGCCTTGCATCTTGTTTTAAATTTGAGAAAGAAGAAAAAAAAACAAAAGAGCAAAGATACGAACTAGTTTCTATAGCGTGTCAAAGTAGATCAAGAAGCTCCTTATCCAACATGTAAAGTTCAATTGTGCATTTACATCTAAAAATAGACAGACTTTGTTAACGACAGAACTTTGAACTGTGTTATGTAGTCAAAGTAAACAAAATATCCAGCAAAAATATCTGCAAATAGCCATTTTCTCAACTGGGATGATTGTCAAGGGAGACCTTGACAAAAACGAGCTGTATACTTCCCAGCAAATCCGTTTGAATCCAATTCATTTAAGAATTTTTATGATTCCTTTTAAGTAGACGACTAGCTTCAATCAAATCAGTGTATTCTTAGAAGTTGGGTTGACTGTAAAAAATAAAATGGCTACTTAAGACACTAAAGCCCCTTTCACACAGAGATTCTGGAAAATACACGGATAATGCAGGGCTTCAGACTAACTTTTTTTTCTAAGAGCGCTGTTGCCCCTGACTGAAAATTTTAGGAGCACCAGCTGAAAATTTAGGGGCACACCTTAAATCAGCTTGCAATGCAATTATTCAAATTTCCCCCAAAATAACTGTAATACTGACAAATTCTTTAATAATAAAGAGACTTAACGTACAGATATGCAGTTTAATTTTAAGTTCACAGGGCTCCAGACTCAAATTTTGAGGGCAGCATCACCTCAAATGAGAACTCACACTGAAAAAAATTCTGGTAGCACTGGGGCTGACAATAAATCACGAAGCTTAATTTAGGGTGTAGATGAAATTAACTTTTGTTATTATTATCATTCATAATGTCTTAATATTAATTAAAAAACAAAAGGAGTGAAAACATGTATATTAAGGAGTGAACATAGCCAATAAACATCCTACTGTTTACAATGGTATTTTTTTTTTAAATCTTTAAAAAAAAAAAATCTTAAAGTTTTTAGTTTTAGGATAATCTTTGAAGGATGAACAAAAAATGGGTTGGTCATCAAATAAAAAAATTAATTAAAAAAAGCATTTATTTATATATGATATTATAGTTTTGAAGTGCTAGAAAAGATGTGTAGGCTGCGTTTGACTATTTCTGTCACATTATCATATTTATGGTTAGAGTTACTTACTACATTAGCCTAAATCCATGGTGAATGTTGCTGATTTGTGGACTGAAAGCCTTCTATAAGTTTCCACGTCAGCACTGTTTGATCTGATATCTATGGTTTATAACAGAACTCTGCGCCGAATGGGAATGTTTCACACTGGATCTCGTAGCGATGATGTTATTAATTCTGAGGCGAATTCAATGGATTTCTTCACTGGATCTCCTAGTAACAGTGTCGCGTGAGCGAGATCGGCCCGCGACTGGCAAGTTCGGGTCTTTATTTTACTGTCAATGGTTCGCGGCGCTGCTCCATTGATATACATAAGAAAGGTTATGCGCTGCTCTGTCTATTATTGGTCCGGAATAATTAACGGTCCGTGAAGCATAAATGAGTAGCGTATTTTCGTTCCCCTTTCATTTTGTTTGCATTCGCTGCTTGGTAACGAGTCGATAGATCGCTCATTGCTCAGACGCACATAGCAGCTTGTGATATTTGTCTCCGCGTCTCCTTCCCACAGACACGCGCGCTCTCTATTCTTGTCACACTCACTCATTCCGGATTCATTGACGCGCCCCTTACACGCTTAACCATGCGTTTAACGTGAGGCAAATTTGGTCGCACATGTGCGACTGGATGTAAAATTTGTGCGACACTCTCCAATTTTAGTTGCAAAATGCGACCATTTGGTCGCAGTCTGGAGCCCTGTAATGTGTCCCGGTATCGTTTGATTTTGGTTCATTTCACACTGCCAGTGATTTCCCGGGAATCTGTGAGTGCGTTCACACACACCCCGTAAAGACACGTGACGCCAGGATGCGTCGAACGATCTCAGCTTCAGGATAGTAAGGAGCTCCCTGGTCTCTGCTTCATTCCAGGTTGTAGACATTTTTTCGTTCTTTCTTTGTTGATGACGAACACAAACTTTCTTTTAAGAGCAACAGAGTCGCACGATAACTACGTCATTGCGATGGCACGTGCGTCATCACTACGACACACCCCTTACGGCATTGGTCCTGGCTTTTGTTCACACAGGGCGCGTTCCGGGACTGATCCCGGCAATGTTACTCAGTCCCCATCCCGGCATCGATCCCGGCACGTGTTTGCGTTCACACAGAAGGCACTCTAGCAATTTTACGGCAATTTCCCGGGATCAATGCGCTGTGTGAAAGGGGCTCATGTAAGACACCTCTTTTGGACACCATGTGCTTGGCATTAAGTATGGGCACTTGACTTTGAGGCAGTCGTTGCCTAATGGTTGGAGACTCAGACTGGAAACCCAAAGGTTGCAGGTTTGATTCTCAGTACTGGCAGAAAATGACTTGAGCAAGTTTCCCCAATCCCTCCCCGTGCGCTGCAGTGAATGGCTGCCCACTGCTCCGGGCGTGTGTGTGTGTGTGTGTTCACTACTCACTGCTCCTAATGTGTGTGTTCACTAACTTGTATGGGTTAAATGCAGAGAACAAATTCCAAGTATGTACAAATTCCATTCTTGGCCTTTACGTCACTTGACTTGACTTTTGGCATTTGCAGTGTTGACAGCTGACTAAGTGTATGGGTTGTTGGACAGTTTGACAAGCAAAGTAATTAAATTTTAGATTGATTCATTAATGAAATAGTTCACTCCGTCAAACCTGTATGCATTTCTTTCTTCTATTGAAGACGATTGAAAATATCGGTAACCAAACAGTTGATAGTATTTCTTTCCTACTATGGAAGTCAATGGGGTCCATCAACGGTCTGGTTACCCACATTCTTCAAAATATCTTGTTTTGTGTTCAACAGAAGAAAGAAATTCATACAGGTTTGAAACAACTTGAGGGTGAGTAAATAATGCCAGATTTTGAAGTGAACTATTCAATTGAAAAAGTGTTTTCATAGTGTAGAGACTCATCAGCATATCTATCCTAATTGTCCCCATTAAACGTCGAATGCCTGCAGATTTAAATAAGCTCTAACTAAGCCACTACATGCACATTGGCGATCTGCAGGAGGCGGCTGTTGATGGAGGCGTAACAGGACCACGGGCTGATCCGCATGAGTCCACCAGCGGTAGGAGGCC